CACCTAATGCAGAGATGCATCTCTGCATTAGGTGTCTGATCCTGCGGTCAGGATATATTTTGGTGGGCTCCATTTAAATTTTTTTTTAAAAAAAAAATTGATTGCATCTACGGTCAGGATTGAACACCGCATGCATCCCTGCATGTGGTGTATGTATACAATAATTTTTCTATTTCATGAGGTAATGGAGCCTGGAGCCTGTATCCCGAGAAATATTACGTACGCAGCGTTATGTACGTTTGGTAGGTTACATAGAAGATATTGAGGGTTATATCCGCGTTATACCCCATGTAACCTCCCTGTAACCTACCTGTAACTTACAAATATATGAAAATAGAAGCGCAGAACTTACTAGTTACAATTATGTTACAGTTAGGTTATATGAAGGTTACACGGGTTATAATGCAGATATAACCCCCAATACCTTTCATATAACTTACGCAAATATTTCTATCCCTAACCTGCCACGATAAATAGAAGCAAAACGATGCTAAAAATTGCGATGAAAAATTTCTAACGATAAATCGTACGCATATTGGTTTATTTCATGAAGCGAATGAATATATTATTTATATAAAATTATATATTTTTATTAATTCTTATTCGGCCACTTATAAAGTTTATAATTTGTTTTTCTAATGTGTATTTATATATATGCGCAATCCTTGGTAAATGAAATATAGAAAATGTATGTGATATTAACTATTTATAAGAAATTACTAGAGCCTAGAATGTGCCTAGTTGCTCCCAAAGACAAATTTTCTTATATGTCCTCATTGTAAAAAAGTAGAAATTTACAAAAAGTATATGTGATATTAATTATTTATGGGAAAGATAAATATAATTAATTCTAAATATTAATACGTGCAGTTATTATTTCTGATTTAAGAAAGATGAAATTATAAAATTATATTGAAATCATGATTGCTTTGAAATATCTTGACATATACAAGGATATAAGAGTAGTTGGGACTACAACTATTGTCGTTTGTGATTGTAAAAGTCGTAATTGGCTACCACCACAATCGTAGTTTGGCCACAAAAAAATAGTGTTTTGTG